TAATAATAATAATAATAATAATAATAATAATAATAATAATAATAATATATCATGTATGCCTTCATGTTTAGTGATTATTAGATGCCATAATAAATTGTTCTATGTTGATACACACATATTGAAGTAATTTTATTTCCCGAGCTACTGTTTTTTTTTCAGTCATGAGCGGTAGAAGTCTGATAAAAATGGCCTAAAAGTGCATAAACATATAACATTTTAAATTGTGTTTTTCAGATTCTTTAAGTTCAACTACAGATGCTAGGTTAGCAAATTGCATGGGAGGAGATTACCCATCCTGCTCCCATGGGGTGGCTGGTAGATTTGTACTGCCTGCCTTTGGCACTGGAGTGCATCTTCTTCCCAGTGGTGCTGTCCGTACAGAATCCTCTCATTGCTGACCATCAGCCAGTTTTTTTGAAGTTATGAATAAACAGGAAGGGATTGCCCCCTTCACAGAGCAGCTGGTGAATTCGAACTGTGTGTCTTTGAGTTGGCAGCACAACTCTGGTAGCACAGCTACCAGAGCTACTTTTTGCTTGTCTTTGTGTTAGGTGTTACCAAGTTGTTTTCAGCTCATAGCTACCTGATAAAACATTGCCTGTCCTGTGCCATTATCAGAGTCTTTGCTATAGTTAATCCCATTGTTGCAACTGATGTGCTTATCCATCTTAGTGGAGGTCTTACTTTTCACTAATCCTCTACCAATCATGGTAAGTTTTGAAAGCAGCTGGGCCTCCAGATAATATATCCACAGTAAGACATATTAATGTCATTTTCTCAGAAATGTTCTGGTTGTAGTTGTTCTGACATTGGTTTTATGGCAATCCAGAATCATCCCCACCAATACCGTAATAAATTATGTTATATATATCTGATCGAAATATGAAATAAAGAAAAGATATATTAGCTGTTGTTAATACAAGTAAAATGTGTGAAAAAAAATTTTAGAGTGGTAACAGATTATGTTAACCACCTTTAATCTTTGACTTCTTAACTATTATTTTCATCAAAAACTTATTTATTTCCTCTAGTTCATTACATTCAAGGTAAGTTAGGGGTAACAGTACTGTCTATCTGTCCATCTGTCTCTGTCTGTCTATCCATCTGTCCATCTGTCTGTTTATCCATTCATCCATCCATCCACCCACCCATCTTTCTACCTGTCTGTCTTTTATGACAATTGTATGAGATCATATGCATCACACATAGTTCCAAAAAACCCAAATCTACTGTCGTCACGGTCATTCTCATTTAGTGCCCTAGGTCAGATTTCCAAGGCTATAATTTGTCACTAGAGGAAACTTCCCAGCTTTCTTCCATGGAGCTACTGGTGGATTCAAACTGCCAGCTTTTTAGTTACCAGTACAATAACTCATTGTGGCCACTCTTAAATAAAAGTTAGTTGATTAATGGAGTTTGTTGTTGGTCATCGTAGTCAGAGTCAGTCTAAAATACATACTTATTAAACTATACCACTCAGCTTTCAAGAGGAGATTCTCCATTCTGAATTAAGTTTTTCTCATGGATTTACTTCATTGTAATCTATAGCTTTAATATTTTTTATTAAATCTACCTTTTGGGTTAATATATTATTTATCGCTTTTCTTTTATCTTATAACATACCTAGTTTTGTTTATAATATATTTTAAGTTGGAGCTAATTTCAATAATCTTGATTTGTACTATAACCATTTTACCTGCTGAGCCTATTCTGGAGACTGTAAAGGTAGTCTTTCTATTTCATTTTACTATCCTTCTGTAAATAGCATTGAATTTATAAGCTAAATTTATTTCAGAAATAAAAAATCTTATTCTAAAATTTAAGACCAATTATGATTTTTAGAAATGTGTCCTGATTTTTTAAAAAATAAGTTGTGCATTTATGTTTACTTCTTGATGTTGATTAATCAAAATCTATCTGCTTAAATAAAGCCATGAGAGTTCAACCCATTTATTTTAAAATTGTATCCTTTCACCTCCTAAACACTAAACTATGAAACCTAACACAAATACTGTAAGAACATCTGAGGTAGATAATTAAAGTATAATTAAGTTTAAATGTCTTGGTGAAGGAGTATAAAAATTATTTAAATTCAATCGGCTAGTACATTTGCAGTTTTCTTTTATTAGGTGTGAAATCTAAGAATCCCCTGCCAACTCTTGAGGGCTCAGTCCAGAATGTTGAATTGAAGTACTGCAGCACATCATTGGTCAAATGTGCCTCTGGGACCATGGGATCAATAAAAATTTGTGCCAAAGCCCCAGGTATGTGCAGCTGGACCATGTAAAACTTTATTGCCTGTATAGGAGAATTGGCCTTGCATTTTACAAGGAGCGTTACTGAAACAAGAATTTACTCATTGTTCCTATGAATCAGAGGTTTTAAATTTTTTAGTTTTACTTAAAATTTTTTTTTTGCCAAGATGATACTACTTGGCTGCAATAAATTAATTTTAAGGGGAAAAAAACCCTTTTTTGCATAGTTTTAAGAATGTTTATGTTAGAGAAAATATAAAGTAAATTTTATTGTTACCTTTATTGCTGATAGGAAGTAAAGGTATGTATGACATTTAAAATGAACTTGAAATATTGGTGAGTATAATAGAATTAAACAGAAAATCTTGTTATTATTTCATTTAAGGTTGTAATTCACTTTATTTTCTTGTGAATGTTTTATTACTTGGTTATCTTAAACTATTTTTTCATAAGTTTATAGACATGCTGATTCCACTAAAGTTTTAAAGGGCAATGTATTGATTTTGGGGTTTTAGGGGGTTTGTTTTTTTCTTTTTTCCAAATTTTCTGAACACATTGTACCCTTTTAGCAAAATACTGAAATAATTTTAATTGAAAAATGCTTTTACTTTTTAAAGTTAGATGCCTTAGAGTATGTATCTAAAATTACCAAACACACTTTGTTAATATCATTTTAAATCAAATATTTTAGGTTCTTTTGCTCTTTGTTTTATGAGAGTTTTTTTTCTCCATAAATATTTTATATTCAGGTGATAGTGGAAAAGAGAAGGTGATTCCATTGCTTCAGGGTCCTTCTGACACTAAAGATCTTCATAGTGGCAAGTGGCTCAATGAAAGTAGAAAGCCAGAATCTCTCTTAGCTCCCGATTTGATAGCCTTCACAGTCCAAGTTCCACAATATATGGATTACTGCCACAATTCTGGTAAGTACAGGTCTATCATTTTTCTATTATTTTGCATATTCTTCTTACAAAGGCTTTAAAAATGAGCGCTTTTTAAAAAAAATCCCCTCTTCTTATTCAAAACAATTTATTAGGGTATTCTTTGTGGTTTTTTTAAAACATGAAAATGGTTATTTTTATGCCAATTTTTATAATCAGCTTCATAATTTTAAGTCTTTCAGATTTAAAAAATTTGAGTTGAGATACAATCCCACTATAGCCTTTTAAAGGATGCAGATTTAAGTCTATTAGATCCATTCAGTTTTCACATATGAGATATAATGGGTAGCAAGAAGTAGAAGAAATAAAATGTATTGAAAAGTGGGTGATCGTAATATGATTAATAAATCCTCAGGTAACATGTTAAAATTAAGTGCTTAATTAAATTTTCTGTGGGTTCCCCCCACCAGAGTTACATTTTCCTTTTAGCACTTGGCTAAGAATCTGTTATCTTTTACTCAAGATTATAATAGGAGGTTCTCTAACTTCTCATGTTGAGATAAAATATGCCAGAAGTATCATTAAAAGATAAAAAAAAGATATGATTGGTAAAGACTAGGATTAGACTTGAGTTCAAAATAACTCATATGTCTGATATTGTCAGTTAATGAATCTAGATTAATTAAAGTAGTGGTTGAAATATTTCTTAAAAGGCTAAGGTTCTGAAAAGTGCAACAATGAATGAATGGAAATACAAAATCTCTGTAGTTGTTCATTGAAATGAATAAAAAACAAAACAAAAGGCTAAGGTTCTGAATTTTTGTTTATTATTAACTGGACAATGAGATGTGGCTTCAGATATCTTCTCGTATTTCATAATCAGCTAGCAATATTCAAAATACAGTGTTGTTTGTGGGAAACAAGCTAAGTGTTGATTAATCACTGTGGCATAGTAGTATGAACCTACACTGCTGTTCCAAAGGCCCATGGTTCAAATCCACCAGGAGAAAGAAGCACAGTCTATTGCCTTTGAATACCCTCTGGAGAGTTAAGTATGGGTCAGTTCTGACTTGATGGCACACAGCAACAAGAAGTTCAAAGTAAAAACTATATAAGATATATGTTTAATTGACTTGACAGGGACTATATGAAGTTTAATTTACTTGAACATTGTAGTGCACAAATGGATATATAGTAAGGGTTGAAAAGTAAATTTTGTTATAGTAGCATTTGTTGCTGAAGAACATCTGTATGAGAAACTACAATTAGTTTTAAAAAGAAGTGTCTGAACACTTATGTCAGTATGCTTCTAAAGATAACACTCCTAAAAAAAGAAGGTAACAGCCTGATGAGAAAGAGTGTAAAGCCCAAAGGAAAGAATGATTTGAAGAGAAGGCCAAGACCCAGGTTAAGATTGTGTCTATGGTTTAACTGTTTTGTCATAATTAAATCAAGGGTAAGCACACTTTATTTTTTTTTTTTAATTTGTATTTTAATGAAAATGTACAGAGACTTTGGATTTCCTTTCATTCATTGTTGCACTTTTCTCCCTGTGCCCCACCCCCTCCACCCCCAGTACACTCTTCTCTTTGAAAAGTAAAAGAAAAATTCTTTAATTGTTTTACAGTCGCTCCCCCCAGGGCAATTCCACTATGCAGCCTTCGTTCTAGACTCCTGTCATGACAGTAATACCTAATCACATATCCCTTTTAAACATTTTTCTTACTCATCTGTTTCAATGCAGTCACCATTATTTATCCCATCTTCCTCAGTCTCCCCCTAACCCCGATGTCAGTTTTGTTTTACAACAGTGGCACTATGAATTATTTGTCCTTTAACTTAGCATAATGTCCTCCATTTTGAATAATATTGCATGGGTTCCTTGTTTTTCAATGCAGCATAGTATTCCATTGTGTGAATATACCACAGCTTCTCTAGCCATTCATTTGTTGAGGGGCATTTAGGTTGTTTCCAACTCCTTGCTGTTGTGATCAAAGCTGCGATAAACACGGGTGTGCATATATCTGCTTGGGTGGCAGTTATGGTCTCTTTGGGGTATACTCCTGGTAGTGGAATTGCTTGGTCAAATGGTATCTCTATTTGCAACTTTTTGAGAAAGCACCACACCACCTTCCACAGTGGTTGCACCATTTTACACTCCCACCAACAATGAATAAGGGTTCCAGTTTCTCCACAACCTCACTAGCATTTGTTGCTTGCTGTTCTGTTAAATTTTGCACTTCTTAGTGGGGTGAGAGGATATCTCATAGTTGTTTTGATTTGCATCTCTCTTAGAGCTAGGGATATTGAACATTTCTTCATGTGCTTGTTGGCCATCTGAATGTCTTCTTCGGTGAAGTGTCTGTTCATATCCTGTGCCCATTTTTCAGTTGGATTGTTTGCTTTTTTTTTGTTGTTGTGGTGCACGCTTTCTTATATAAGGCTAGATAGTTATTATTTCAGTTTCTGTGGGCTACATACACTATCTAACTTCCTATTTTTTTGTGATTGTAACATGTTAATAGCCATAAATAATACCTAAATGATCAAATATCACTGGGTATGAATAAACCTTTCTTTATAAACACAAGTAGACTCAAATTAGCCTATATTTTACTTACACAAGATTGATGGTTAAATAATACTTAGCTTTTTCTCATGCCTATTTATGTTCTTTGAATATTTTCTTTAGCAAACACTTTTATGTAACTATTCACATAGTACCTTTTGTATTCTTTATGTTTTGTCATTAAATGTCATTTAAGGGACTAGACCATCCGGTGATGATGTTGATACTTCTGAAGAATTGAATCTTACTTGAATCTGGCATATTTTATCCTCTAGAGTTAGACATAACTTTTTGCTTTACTACATACAGTTTCTTGCTTTACTTTACACAGAATATATTAGTCAAAATTACTTAAATAGTGATTTATTTTTCAGCTATATTTAGAGCTCTTTTTTTTGTTCTTGAGATTTTAACGAAAGTTTATGGATAACATGGATTCCATTCATTCATTGTTGTAACTTTTCATCCCTGCCCACCTTCCCCTCCAGTTGCCTTTTCTCTTTGGTGGTGGTGGGGGGGAAATTCTTTCATTGTCTTACAGTTCCCCCTCTCCCAGTCCACTTTACTATGCAGCTCTTATTCTGAACTGTTGTCATGCAAATAATACCTAATATATTCCTTTTAAGGAATTTATTTAGAGTTCTTTAAATTATACTTTACACAGTTCTAGAGTGACAGTATATTTCTATTTAAACTATTTTATGTAGAATGAAAGGTAAACTGTTGAAAGAAAAATTATCTTGGACATTTATGATTTTTATGGAGGAAACATTTACTCCCCCCCCCCCCCCCGTTAAGGAGGTCACCAAATCTTTTTTTTTTCTTTTCCCATTTCACGTGGTATCTTTAGTTTTTAAAAATATGGATCGCTTCGCTTCACAAATTTCCGTGTCATCCTTGTGCAGGGGCCATGCTAATCTCTGTATCGTTCCAATTTTAGTATATGCGCTGCCAAAGCGAGCACAGGCCACCAGATGTGTTAGGTTTAGTGATAGGTTTGTGGCTTTGCATGTAAGAAATTAAATGATCATGTATTTGGTGCTTTTGAAATATTTCTTTGAGTGTATTTTAATCCTAATATGTTCTCTCTTAAACTGTAGTTATATACTCTATTTAGAATATCTTTTTAATTTAATTTTTTATCTTTTGTGCTACCACTCTCATTCATGATTAAGTATGTATAATATGCTTTAGAGAACTCTAAACTCTGGTTTTCAAAGTAAGCTTTAGAGTAATTCTTATTGAACTTGAGTGGTACTAACAAAATTGAAAAACGTGTATATGTATGTGTATATGTGTATATACACACACACACAAATAGAAATCTTAAATACACACACACACATGTATGAACACACATGGGTCACCTCTTGTTGTTGAGTTGCTTCAATATGTGAGTCCATAATCTTTACGGGAGGAGACTGCCTGTCTTACTCAGAGGAGTTGGTGACTCTTCTGTTAGCAGTGTAATACCTAATGCTCTAGGTCACCAGAACTTGCTTGTTCTCTTCCGCTAGGAGATATAACTGTATAAACATGAAGAAATGAACCACATTCCATTAAATATAGTATCAGAGACCCCTCTAGATACATGTTTTTTACTAAAGAGAAAGATCCTAACAAGATAGATTGACAATGGTCTTAAGGATAGTGGAGATGATGAGGATGGCACAGGATAGAGAGAGGTTCAAGTCTGTTCCCAGGGTTACTATGAGTCACAGTTAACTCAAAGGTGGGTACAACAACAAAACTGTGTCAAAATTCGTAGTACTTCAGATTATGTTTTCATCTTATTTCCAGTAAAATTACTGGAAACATGGTTTCAACAGAAAATGCAACCAGAAAATTATTTGGTCTTGAAAGGTTTAAAGAGGCCAGTTGTGTACTTTTTTAAAAGGAGCTTGGAGATCATATAGCTTGATGTATGGAAGATAGGTTCTATTGACCATAAGCTCTGAAAAGTAATAATGGAATATATAAATTAGGTAACAGCAAATTTTTTGCATGGTTAATTAGAAACTGAGTATTGAGGGAAACTTGTTATGAAGAAATGGTAACCTTTAGATTATTACTTTGTTACTGTAAGATCAATTTCTTTTTGTCTGTAGAACAAGACTGCTTGCTCTATTATGATTTTTATTATGTAGTGGAGATAAAAGAAATCTAGAATTTAAATGACTTGTCTAACTTCAGGTATTTGACAAGTGATTCTAAACTAGAACCTGGGACTTATAACTATAATATTTTCCTAATCTTGCATTTAGGCTGTTATATTATCTTTTAAATCCAAATGGCATTAGTATTTATATTGCCAAATGTTGAATCCTCAGCCTTAAAACTCCGAAAAACTCCTTTCTTCCTGCATACAACTCTAATTAAAGAACTCTGCTTACATTGTGTCATTATGCTGTTTTGTGGGTTCAGAATCTTCCTTTCTGTGTTCTCACTTGCCCCTGTGTTGAATTCTGTACTT